TATAAAGATGTTTTTGATGGTGTGGGTTGTTTCCCTGACATTTGTAAGATAAAATTAAAGGAAGATGCAGTACCACAAGTAAGTTCTGCTAGAAGAATACCATACAAAATTAAAGATAAATTTGAAAAGGCATTAAATTCGCTGGTTGACAATGAAATTATTAAGCAAGTTGAAGAGCCGGTTGAATGGGTCAATAATATTGTAGTACTAGAAAAGCCAAATGGATCTTTAAGAATCTGTATTGATCCTACACAACTTAATAAATATATCATAAGAGAGAGGTATGCAATTCCTTTGCTAGAGGACTTGGCTCCAAAATTAAGTAATAAGAAATACTTTACAATTTTAGATTTGAAAGACGGGTTTTATCATATAAAACTAGATGAAGAATCCAGTAAAATGTGTTCATTCAGCACAATCTTTGGAACTTACAGATTTTTGAGGGCACCTTTTGGCCTCTCTTGTGTACCTGAAATATTTCAAAGATTGGTACACAAATATTTCAAAGATATTAAAGGTCTTTCAATCTATTTTGATGATTTGTGCATTGCTACTGATACTAAAGAGGAAAATGATAAAATTATAAAGCAGGTAATGGAAAGAGCAAAACAGTATAATATTAGATTTAACTATAGTAAAATGCAATACTGTGTTAATAAGGTAAAGTATATTGGTGCTATATTCAGTGAACAAGGGATGCAACCGGATCCTTCAAAAGTTGAAGCAATAAAGAATTTTAAAACTCCTACATCTAAGGTAGAATTACAAAGATTTTTAGGTATGGTAAATTACATCAGAAATTTCGTCCCTAATTTGGCTTCAATAGCATCACCTCTTAGAGATTTACTAAAAAAGAATGTTCCTTGGCAATGGTATGAACATCATTCTAATGCTCTTGAAAAAATCAAACAATCACTCTGTAGTAATCAGGTCTTAGGGAATTTTGATCCATCTCTTCCTATTGAAATACAATGTGATGCTTCACAGGATTCTGTAGGGTGTTGTTGCATGCAAAATGGCAGGCCTGTTAGTTACTTTTCTAGAAGTCTGACCACAGCAGAAGTTAATTATGCTCAAATTGAAAAAGAATTATTAGCTATTTGTTTTTCGTGCAAGAAATACCACAACTATATATATGGAAATGAAAATGTAACAATTTTTACTGACCATTTACCTCTGTTGTCAATTTTTAATAAGCCATTGTTTAAAATTGTCAATAACAGAATAAGAAGGCTCAGACTTAAATTGATGATATACAGTTTTAAACTAAAATATTTGCCAGGAAAAAACATGCATATTGCAGATTTTTTATCTCGGAATGGTATTAAAGATGAGGTTGAATGGCATGAACCCTTAGATGGTATTGTGCACTGTATTGAATCTTCTGAAGTGAAGTTTAGTGATAGAAGACTTGAGGAATTTAAAGAGGAAACAAGAAATGATGATGTTTTAAACAAAGTTATACAATTTTGTAAAACCCAATGGCCAAAATCTGTTAATGATGGTGATCTAAAGACTTATTTCAATATGAGAAATGATGTAACTCATCAAGATGGATTACTCTATTTGAATGACAAACTTATAATACCAAGTAAACTGAGGAAATTTATGCTGTCACACCTGCATGAGACTCATCTGGGAACAACTAAAATATTGAAAACTGCCAATTTATTTTTTTACTGGCCAGGAATGTCATCAGACATAAGAAATACAGTATCTCAATGTTCTATATGTATGAAACACCAACGTTCAAAATTGAATGAACCTTTAAAAGTTCACAGTGTTCCTCAAATACCCTTCATCAAGATTGGAGCTGATATTGCTGAATATGCAGGTAAATACTATCTTGTAACTGTTGACTTTTATTCACGTTGGATTGATGTATTTAAGTTGAACAGTAAAAACAGTAATACAATAATTGGTAAATTCAAAGAGCTATTTAGTCGAAATGGGATCCCTATGTATTTGGTGGCTGATAATCAACCATTTAATAGCTATGAAATGAAACAGTTTTCTATAAATTGGAATTTTACAATAATCACATCAAGTCCTCACTATCCAAAAAGTAATGGACTAGCAGAAAAGGCTGTAGGAATTGTAAAGAAAATGTTACAGAAGAGTGCTGAAAGTAAACAGGATTTTGAACTCTTCTTATTAAATTATAGAAACTCACCTGTTGCAAACCTGGACTATTCACCTTCTCAGCTTTTAAACAGCAGACACATAAGATCAAAACTACCTATACCAAACAGTTATTTACAGCCTAAAACAGTTTCTTTTGAGGTACATGAAAGCATAAATGAAAGCAAAAGGTATCAAGAACAAATGTATAACAGATCAGCCTTGAAAAAAGAAGATGAATTCCAAGTTGGAGAAGAGGTTTTAGTACAGGATATTAAAACCAAATTTTGGAATCCTGGTGTGATTTTTAAAAAATTACCGGAACCTCGTTCTTATTTGGTAAAATTAGAAAGTAATGTTGTTTTAAGAAGAAACACACACCATATAAGAAAAATTAAATCTATGTTAAAAAAGAAGGACAGTCAAGACGGCTAAAAAAGGGAGATGTTTGTATATTACTTACTTAAAAGTCTTTGTTTAAAATAATTTGTTTAACATATGTTGTCAATAATAATTAAGCAATGATATTGATTGTAAACAGTTATAGAATAAAGAGAAACAACTTGAATGTTAAAAAATACTTTTTACTTTTTATCAAATTAAACAATTGTGTGTATTAAATTCCGTCCAAATATTCTATAAGATTCGATATCAAACGGTTTCTACAATTGGCAAAAAGTTAACATATTAAATTTATATCAAGGTTGCCAATTAATTGTTTTGTATTCAATGAGGATAGCATTTCGGAATTTAATTAATTTTCTTGATTGCAATTTGGTTTGCGTTCAAAAAGTAAACAGTTCTGGATCACGTATAATCTTACCATCATAAAATAAAATAGGCTAAATAGAAATAAATCGTACAGTAAAATATAAAAAAATCGTATGTATATCCGTTTGTCTGTCAGCATCTCGTATACACGTTACTAAACCATCCTTGCAATCGTAACGCACCTTTAGAGAGTAGTTGATCTCTGGCTACAAATGTTTACTTTTAAAATATTCAATTTTACTGCACATTTTTTGCTGAGAGTTGCTACGAAATTCCTTAAGGGCGTGATTTACCCCTGACGCGCAACCGAATGCAAGATTTCTGTTTTCACCTGCTACATTGAAGGAAGAATCAAAGTTAAGGTCTCATATTAAAGAGGATGAAACTTTCTATAGTTTTTTGTTTCTATATTTCAATTATTTTAAATACACACCTTATAAAATTGAGTTGCAGTACAAGAAAAAAGGGTCTTTTCAACTAGCCTTAACTTATTAAAAAAACGTTTTTTAAACATTTGAAAAACGCAGAACTATAGATTGGTCTTTGTACTACTATATGCCGTTTAGAGTGCGTAGCTATCGTTATTTGTTAATTCTAAAACAGTAATCTTGGAAACGTCTGCAAGCGCTTCTCGCAGCGCTGTCCAATGGTGAAACATAGCTACTGAAGCCCGAGCTGAGGTAAAGCGCACCCTTAAGTCTTTCTTAGTGCTATGACTATGAGCGTTCAAAACGGTTCAGAGTACAAGTAACTATATCAATGATTAAAACATAAAATCAATACTGTTATATCCTAATAATCACACTCAAGTCAACATCTTATAGCCACATCAAGTTTTTTTTTCAAACTGCATCTGTGCAACTGTCCCTAAAGAAAGGTCTTGGTCTGTAGATAAGCCATCAAAAGAGAAACGTGGTAAATTCCTTTGGGGCTCTGCCCCAGTGGCCTTTAAATTCCCATCCCATGTTATTCTTATGGAGGAAAAACGGGGTTTTGTCACAGCTAATTACAGAGAAAGGCTGGGCGTAGAAACTTGGTAGGGGTCTCTAAAGAGAGGTCTTAGTCTGTAGATGAGCCATCAAAAGAGAAACAAGGTAAATTCCCTCGGGGCTCCGCCCCAGAGGCCTTTAAAGTTCCCTCTTCAAATGTGTTTACATTACGACCATATACATTTACACTACTTTTGAATGAAACAGCTGTTAATATTTTAAATTGTGATTTACTAAATTAATGGTTTTTTCTGATTTTAAAATCGATTTTCTTCTGAATCGTGCCATGTTTTGCAATATAATGTTCTATTACCAAATCAGTAGAAAATCCTAATATCACAGTAACTTTAAAATTATTTCTTATGGAGTTAACTTATATCTATTGTATGGGTTGGTTTCTGCCTTTTTTATCACTTCTTGGAGATTACACGTAGACGATATTCTTTGGCGTATTGCATCTGTTTAAGTTATAATCACTCAATAGAACCCTATAGCAATGTAAGTTATCACTGATGTATTTCTGTTGGTTTGTACTAAATAACAATTAGTTTTTACTAAGTGAAAGATTTTAAAATACGATAGCAATATTTAAGCCAAATGAACTAAATTGCTAAAAGAAGCTTTTAGGCTAAATCATATTACTGGTTGTACAAGGAAGGACTTTGTCTGTTGCTCAACTTATTTACCCCGTAGAAGCCTGAAGAATTTCCCGTCCTCCCTCAACGACTCGCGGATCAGATCACATGTTTCAAGCGACCCTATTATCTACCTACCAGACCCCCGGGTCAGTTTGAATGCTCCAAAACTACCCTCTGACCGCGGATCAGTCTGTATGCAGCCGTATATACACTCGCCTTTGGCTCGCTGGGGGATCCGCCCCCAGGCACCCCCTAGCTGTTAGTCGTCATTAGTGGTAGGGTGAAGGGGCGTATATATATGTTACGTATCTTACGTTTATAACCGATGCAATAACAAAGGTTTACTTTTGTCTAAGCATGTTGGCCAACCTGAAATGAATTAGAGAACAACAAGAACACATGTTACACCCACACCAGCTGATTAATGTCTGCAAACTACTGTTGTGCTGTCAGTTCTGTGTTCTGTCACTGATGTCTGCTCTGCTGGCTTGGTTGGCTACTGCTGTGAGGCGAGAAGTATCAACAATCCGTTTCGTTCAGTTTTAGATTTCACAAAAAAAATTGGACTTAATCCGTAAATAAATGTATAGTTTTACTGTTTAAAGGATATATTATTTGTGCTTGATTGTTGTTGTGTTGTTGAATCGATGATACGATGGGCTTTATGTCATCATCATGTACGTCAATGTTAACAATAACACATCTCCTTTGTCTAAATCATGTTTATGCAGATTTTTGCGAATTTATGATTTGTCATCCATCTGAGCAGTACTGCTGTGGGGATAACAAATGTTGCAATTACTACAACTATAGCACATGGTACTTATGGTAAGAATACAAAATTTGTATTAAAATCCAATTGTTTTCTAAACTTTCCTTAAGGAACATTATGATTAGCCTATACAAACTTTTTACTGAAAATGCCTACTTATCAATTATCTCAGTTAAGGCCTACTCTTTTATCACTGCCTATAGTCGAGCACCTTAGGCTACCCTACTCGACCATAACATACAAAGTAAAGTAGCCTACCATATGAGGGCAGCAATAACCTAGCAGGAGCAATAACCTGATAGTTTGTATGTCCACACTTGTGCGCTTTTGTGTGCGCTAAGCGCATGCCTCTTTGAGCATGCCTTGATGCATCTTGATTCAAGTAACGCATGCGTCAAGGCATGCACGATTGTAGCGGAAGAAGCTCCACTTCATAGCGCACAGCTTAGCGCAAGGCGAACCACCAGCCTTTCATTTCTGTGTGTTTCAATTTGCTACTGCTTTACATTTTTTACAAGTAACTTAAAACGTGGTGTAATAGCTTGGAGCAACGTGAGTAACGAAGAAACCTTAGAATTCATAGAAATTACGATAGTGCTGCAATGTTAATGGAATTTGTAGGCCCTATTCTGTTTTGTAGCCTGCAAAATAAAACAAAATAAAAATATAACTAAATATTATCGCTCTCATATGTGTTTGTTGGACATAATGAATAAAATAAGGATCTATATATTTAATCTAGGCAAATACGAATTTTGTGATAATTGTGTTGAAGCTGCTATTCATTCGATCACCAAGTTTAAGTTAAAAAATTTAGAAATGACCAAGTTTAGATGAAAAAAAAAAACTTGATGAGGGACAAGGAAACAATTGAGACGTTTAGGAAAGTAGCTAGGGAAATAGAAGGGATCAAAGATACATAGGCCTACAGGCTTTTAAATTGAAAAAAAAAAACAATCATAAACAAAGAAAGAAAAGGATTGAAAACTTCCCCATGAGAGAGGAAAGGTTAGAGCCAACCACAATGATCCCTGTCGCTCAGGGCAGTAGGAGTAGGGCGTCGCGCTGTTAGGGTTTCGGACACATAATGTGTCTGGACGAGGAGTGAAAGTGGCCGAAGCCTAAGAAGAAAGAATATTTTCACGGGGAATTGGCTGGCAAATAAAACCCAGACTTAAGCCACATATGGTGGTGGGAACGAGGGGCTTTAATTTGTCCTATAGGTTATCGTCAATTAATCAAAAGTGAATCTTTTACTGACTTTCACAAAAAAAAAACTGCAAAAACAACTTTAAAGCGCATAATTTGATGCATGTTGAATTGAAAGTTGAAGTGTGTGTTGAAATTGAAAGCGCAAGAGTGTGGACATTGTTAATAGCCATCCCAATTGATTTAGAGTATTTCTGATCCAAGCCTAGCATTCTAAAATGGAAAACAAACTGTCAAATAGGCCTAGGTAAATTATTACAAACACAACACATCCATTCTAAAATTTTAATTTCAACCATTCTGTTCTGCTGGTTAATCAATGTTCTCTGATCTCCTTTGTCAACACATATTTTTCATTTAAGTTAATTGAACAAAGTTAAACTTTGTATGCCTTTTGCTTTTATGCTGCCTTGTTCACTTTAAAATGTAGCCTATCATTTCATTTTATAACTTTGGCTACAGTAACCTACATTAAGTTCAATTCTAAACTAAATCAACAAATTAACTTTCTTTTATTTATTTGTCATTGATAGCTAGCATCTAGGTACAGTCATCGAAAGACCAGCAACATTCAATAATAGTTTGAATTGAAATTCCAGGGGCATAGCTGCACTGATTGGGCTGTTGTTGGTGGCTTTGTACTATATCTCCCGTTTAAATTCCTGCAGGGATCGGGACCCAGAAAGTGATAAAGCTCCTATTGTCATCAGATAGGTATGTTGTCAGTTCGTAGTCTATATAAGCTATTTAATATGATACCTAAGCTACATAAAAAGATTGTTCTCGATAAGGTTAGCGAATTTCCCTATAGGGAAGTAGAGCTATTACTATAGGTGGCACGGTAAGACCTTGTCCTGGGACCGATTTACTTTTTCATTTTGATATCCCCAGAGACCTAAAACACCATTTGTTCAAATTTTTATATATGTGTGTGTATATATGTACCTTTTATATACGAATGTTCGCCTATTCGGTCTGATGATGAGTGTCCAATCGAAATCAATCACCACTTACAATTTTTTTTGTATATTTACCATCTTGTGAGTAACAGTATAAGCCTGAATATATGTTTTAAGTGAATATATGTTATATGACGTCTCTTTTATTTACTTTCCATAAAGAATTAGTTTAACGAGTACTTATAGGTTTGCTGCCACAGGAAGGGTAAAAGTGTTTTTTTTTTTGTTTTTTTTTGTAAAATGTTAATAGTTAAGTAAGAAATAAATGCATGTTCCAAATTTGATCAAAATATATTCATAAACAAGCGAACTACAATAGTTTTACTTATTCTCCATAAGAAAAACATGGGAATTTTAAATTTACAATTTTTTTTAAATTTCTCTATAACCATTAGGCACATAATAACACTTCAATATACTAGATTATTTGTTTTTTAAAGCTCTACAAAATGGTTTGGAAATAAATTGCTAAATTTTATGTTTTTTGGGTCAAAAATTAGAAAAACCGATTTTTACCCCATAAAACCCCCAATAAACCCCCGTTCCCATAGTCCTATCATGCTGGTTTGCGTCCTTGTTCGAATAATTTTAAGTTTACAAGTTTATACGAAATTTCATTAAATTGTATAATTTTTGCTCGAGTTATCGTGCTAACGGAGACATATATAACTCGTCAGGTATAGCATGACCGGTGGGGTGCGTTACTAGGCTACGTTACTAGCGCACCCCACCGGTCATGCTATACCTGACGAGTTGTATATCCTTCATATATCGATTTTTTCTTATATATTTATGAATTTGAACGGATGGTGTTTTTGGCCTCTAGGGACCTCAAAATGAAAAAGTAAATCGGTCCCGGGTCCAGGTCTTACCATGAGTACTACGGTAATAGCTTATTCCCTATATGGGAAATTTGCTAAAATATATAAATTTCAACTGGGCGTATCTTAACAAAAATATGAGTGTAAGAAATTAAGGTTTAGATAGAATTGGTTTTGTTTTAAAAATTTGCCTACCTATTACTGGTAGGATATGTTTTTTATTCAAACTTAAGCCATGTTACGGGCCAGAGACAGATGGTGTAATAGTTGCAAAAGGAAAGCTCATTTATTTAAAAGAAACTTTGTATGGCCTACATTGTCAGGATGTCTATCCAACCGAGAGAACTAAGAAACTGTACCTGAATTTTGATGTCCAGAAAAAAGTCTGGGAATAGTGCATATGTTTTGTATGGTAACAGGATATTAAAAGATTTTAATAATGACCAAATGCAATCAATTTGCGTTCAAGGTAAATGACCATAATGTTTCCGTGATCGCTTGAGAAAATATGACGTGGCAAACATTTTAGGATGATGTAAACAGTGTTGGGAAGTAGCGCGCTACAAGTAGCGACGCTACAGTAGCGCGCTACTTTTTTTGTAGCGTTAGCTGTAGCTACGCTACTTTTAAGATTTTGTAGCTTTAGCTGTAGCTAGCTACATTTTTAAAGTAGTTGTAGCGGAATTTTAGCTACTTTTCTCGCTACATTAACATTGTTTGAGATAGTGATTTTTATCATAACCTCAACCTTACGTGAAACAAACTCTTTCAAACTGAGATTTTCAAAAAAATTAGGCCTACTTTCTTGGCTTCATACAGCTGGTTGCAGCTGTTTCATTCCCTATTAAAACGTTGTGTGGACATGGAGGCCATTAAATGAGTGTTATCCACATTTTTTGCTCTCATTTCCTTAATTTAATACTCTATGATTACTGTCAGATAAAATAAAATCGCTAGATGCAGACGACGTTTAAACGTTACCGGTGACAAGAGAAGCTATTGAATTATTGCAAGTGATTGACAGGGAAATTAGTAATCAACTTAGTTTCTTTATAGTCTAGGCATATTAGGAAAGTTAGCAGAAAGTTTAGGTACAGTCCTAATCATCACTTTTCTTTATGTTTTTTGGGTCGCTGAACACGAATATGGGGTTCGCTGACAGATATTTTGCCCGGAACATTGGTTATTTTGTGAAAAACCTTAAAATTTGGGCACTTTTTTTGGTTTTCGGGCAAATCTCGGTAAGTATGGGTTTTTGAGAAAATCCTGCTTTGTTAAGTTAAAGATGACAAAATTTACTACAAGTTTCCTATATAATGTTTGTTTCTACGACGAACCGTTTCGCCACTAGAGCACACTAAAAAAGGCCAGAACTACAAAAAACTAAAAACATTGCTAAATGCTGCCGTTTTACATTACGTTTCCATGGAAACAACCCATGTTACGATAATTTTAACTATTTATGCATGATAACAAACTGAAACACACTTAAAAATACCCCCGCCGCAGCAAACCTGCAGACTAAGCGAATTTACATTTCCCTGATTGGATTTACACTAAAATGTCTCCTTAGAAATATCACATTTATTCCCTATTTAAATAAATGTTTAACGAGATTTGCTGCAACAGGGAGGGTAAAAAGGTGTTTTTTTTTTAAATGGAAATAATTTAGTATGAAATGAATGCATTTTCCAAATTTGATCAAAATATGTTCATAAACATAAACAAGCAAACTACAACAGTTTACTTAGTATCCATAAGAATAACATGGGCATTTTAAATTTTTTTGGAATTTTTTCCGTAACCATTAGGCGCATAACAACGCTTAAATATACTAAACTATTTGTTTGTTTAAGCTCTACAAAATGGTATGGAAAGAAATCACTAAATTTTAAGTTTATATGGTCAAAAATAGGAAAAACCAATTTTTACCCCATAAAACCCCCCATAAATCCCTGTTCCCATAGTCCGATCATGCTGGGCAAAACCAAACCCTAATCGTTTTACAAAGGTTTTACATTGGGTTTCCATGGAAACAACCCATGTTACGATAATTTGAACTATTTATTCATGATAATGAACTGAAACACACTTGATAAATCTATGCCAAGATGTATGACTGACTGCTGGAACATTTCCCGTTCCCACAAAACACCCATTTATTTTCTCAGCACAGAGATGTGTCTGGCCACAGGGTTGACTGCTATAGTGGTTGAGAAAAAAGGATGAAATACATTAAAAGAGTTGTAGATAACTTTTAACTTTGGTAAGGTCAAACTCAGACGAGCAGACCGTGTCCAGCCACTTGCCATAGTAAATAACGCGATGAAAGTAGAGAATTCTTACCCGTAAACCCCAACACATTGTTTCAACGTATCAGCAACGCTAAGAATTCTGATGAAGAACTAAAACACTTCTTGTCCTTCTGACAGAGAAAATTCCAAACTGTAAATTTAAAACGCCCATGTTATTCTTATGGAGACTAATAAACTGTTGTAGTTTGCTTGTTTATGAACATATTTTGATCAAATTTGGAAAATGCATTCATTTCATACTAAATTATTACATTTTACTAAAAACACCTTTTTACCCTCCCTGTTGCAGCAAACCTAAGTACTCGTTAAACTTTTATTTAAATAGGGAATAAATGTGATATTTCTAAGGAGACATTTTAGTGTAAATCCAATCAGGGAAATGGAAATTCGCTTAGTCTGCAGGTTTGCTGCTTCGGGGGTATTTTTAAGTGTGTTTCAGTTTGTTATCAAGAATAAATAGTTAAAATTATCGTAATATGGGTTGTTTCCATGGAAACGTAATGTAAAACGGCAGCATTTAGCAAGGTTTTTAATTTTTTGTAGTTCTGGCCTTTTTTAGTGTGCTCTAGTGGCGAAACGGTTCGTCGTAGAAACAAACATTATATAGGAAACTTGTAGTAAATTTTGTCATCTTTAACTTAACAAAGCAGGATTTTCTCAAAAACCCATACTTACCGAGATTTGCCCGAAAAACCAAAAAAAGTGCCCAAATTTTAAGGTTTTTCACAAAATAACCAATGTTCCGGGCAAAATATCTGTCAGCAAACCTCATATTCGTGTTCAGCGACCCAAAAAACATAAAGAAAAGTGATGATTAGGACTGTACCTAAACTTTCCGCTAACTGCCACTTATATTCCTAATATGCCTAGCCTATTATTACATTGATGGTGTTTCAACTTGGGTTTTAATTGAAACCAACAATACTTAAAATAATGAGAAAGCTGGTCCATCAACCTTTGTTTCAGCTGTTGATTGTGGTTTATCATCACAAGCCCTTCCTTGGTTAGATTACGAAGATGTTTTAAAGGTTTACTAAATTAACAAAGAGGAAATTTACCTGATGAGATTTAATATATGCCTAGGCTAGGCCTACATGATAATTGTAACGAAAAAATCTCCATATCCATGAAACTTACATTGAAAAAATAGCGTAGTTTGCTCCTGCTTACAGCTCTTGTATAGGACTATTCCTAGGCTAGCTATGGTTTAAGACGAATACCAAGTTCCAAGTTCAATTATTAGGAATAATATAATATCTGTTAGGTTTAGTCTTAGCAAGAACAAGCCTACTATAGCCAACTTGTTACATGGCCAAGTAGGCCTACATGTTATTTTTACTTTACAAATTTCAACATGTTTAAATTAAAAGCCGATTTCAGTATAGGTTGCTGAATACTGTTTTCTGTACCAACTAGGTTGAAGCACAATTTGCCCTAAGCATAATGACAATAAAGGACGATTTATTGGCATTGAAAAGTGTTACTCATAGAACAAGTAACTCATCACTATGGTTAAAAGTTGTAGCAATGTCGTTTTTAACATTAAAAGTAAAAGCAATAAACTCCAATTTCAGTAGGCAAGGCTCTGTAACACAAAAAAGTATGTTTAAATAATCGTTTTACAGTTTTATTGGTCTTAATTGTTGATATAAGACATCTATAAATGAATCTATAATAAAGAAATAAAATGAGCTTTTAAAATATAGTTTGGTTGTATGTCCTTTGAACTTAATGAAATTTACATTTAAGATGCTTAAAAATACAGTAATGCAATATTTAAAAATAAGTACTAAATATGATGGGGCACCCAACTATTTGGTTCTTTTGTTATAATGTTAGGTTTATAATGCCAACAAATTAAATACAATCTAGGAATAATTTGTTTTCCGAGTAATGTTAGATACAATACTGACATTTTTTTTTGTTCAATAAAAATGTAGTTGCAATTAATTTTACATTTACCTAACGTGCGTGGAATAAAAAGTAACGTCTTTGGAAAAGTAGCTAAAATTGTAGCTGTAGCTACTTTTCATTGTAGCTGTAGTTGTAGCTAGCTACTTTTTTGGAACTGTAGCTGTAGCTGTAGCTAAGCTACTTTTTTGGAAATGTAGCAGTAGTTGTAGCTAGCTACATTTTAAAAGTAGCTTCCCCAACACTGGATGTAAATATTAATTTGCTACTTTTCCATTGAACGTAGGCAATGGTACACTGCTATCCAGTAGCGTTTTAGGTGAAGGGGAGTATTGATTTGTACGAGGGTCGTACAAGGGTCGTTACTTGATAAGTCTTTATTAACACACCAGAAAGTAAAGAACGAAGGTGCATCCTACGCGGAACAGATGCCCCACTTCTGTAATTTTGTGCTTGTCTGCTTGCCCCTTCCTTTTTTTAACTGTGACATGAGTCTCTTTGCTGTGTGATCACGCTACGTGTTTTTACAGCGTTTTAAAATTACGTTTCTGTAGAGCACCAAACTCAAGTGTCTGTCTGAACTTTTTCCCTGACAGTAGGCCTTTTTTAATAGGACTGAGTCATTGTCCGCCATTTTAGTCCCTAAATTTAGTATGTCAATGTCTGAATCTGTATTACTAAGACTAACATTATACCGCTTTCATGCTAATAGACACAACATAGCCAATAGACACAACATGCACGTAAAAACATTTCAAATGTAACGATAGAACATTCAAAGCCTGCATCCCCCATGGACAAAGCTTCTAAATGCTTCGATTCTACTAGGACTTTTATAAAAGATAATGACAAACAGTGTAAATGTGATCATAACCAATTTAGTTTTCAAAGAGATGGCAGAAACCATGATCGGGGCAGAATCCAGAACCTTTGCCACGGTAGTATGGGCGATATTATCGGCTCCGGTAGTCATGGAAACATCGTCATTGTTTTTTACGATCACAACAAAACCTTTAACATATTCCACAGTCTTGTAGACATCTTCTTAGTCTCTTGTAGTCATGGAAAATATAATTGTCCTCCATGATTGCGGCGAGAGCGTGAATATTTTGATCGCGAAATCTTCCCAAATGCAAACATATTCTGCAATCGCAATAGTAAAAACTTGGCCATTTTTCTGTAAAATACCTCAAATTAGCTAAAAGTCCATTTATGTCAGTTAATAATGTTTTGTTTACTTAACTTCAACTGTGTGGTATTTTCTGAGCCTTATATTTTGTTTATTTGTTCCAGGAACCCCATCCCCAGGAGTTTTGAGTTTGGCAAATTAGAATCTGTAATCTGTCAATACAATTGTTGTAAATGTTTGTTATATGAATAGTATATTGTGTACTTAATAACTGCAAAAGCTCATACCAGCTTTAAAATAATATTCAGATCTTTCTATTGGTTTTCTATAATCTTCAATCATAGTTGGTGTATGAATTTATTAATTGAATTATTTTAAACCTATGAATTTGCTTTTGTTTATGACATATCTCTAGTTTGTAATGGGCTTGCAAATAAATTATTTATTTCATACTTATATTAAAATGTAAGCCCAATACATTTTTGGAGCCTAAAACCCTCTTTAAAATATTTACCCATTCTGCATTTAGGCGATTAATTAATTAGATAATTTTATTCTTAGATAACAAGATTCTACCTTACTTATCTCTTTATTTTTGAATTGACTTAGGATGCAACGTAGTAGTGTATTTATAGTCAATGATTATAGTTTGGCATGTTTACTCTATAACTTATACAATTGAAATAATGGCTTTACCTTAAAATTGATCAGTCCAAACTTTATTTTTCCATGAAATATTATATTCTGACAAAGACTTTAATCACAAAATGGTAAGTTTCTATGTACAATGATACCATTCATTCCAAGTTTATGTTAAACAATTATCTGTTGTTATTATTGTGGTTTAAGATTGACTGATGTATTAGCTTTATTCATATTTAAATAATCTATTAAAATTTGCATTAATACCTTTTAGCCTACTATATTTTAGTGACAACTAGGTATGTCACATCATATCAAACAACGTGCTATCTTACAGGGACATTTCCATTAAACAAATTATTGTGTTCTAATAACAACTGTTTTCCTCCAACTAACTAGGTACTTGTGAATAATATCAAGGCCCCACTAGAAAAACAGGCCATGCTCCAGGATCCATGACGTCACACTAGTGGATTCATTGATAGATTCAATGCCATATCCCATATGTTTTTGGTAAATGAGCTGGCTGTTGTCAGATTTTAATGGTAAGAGTTTAGTACAACTATCCACCACTGTGACGTAGTCAGTGGCGGACTTACCTACGGCGCCGCCTTGGGTTTCGCGAAAAAAAAAGGATTCAACGTATAAGCGAGATTAAATTTCCCGTTGTTGGGTTATACGTTCCCGCTTATTAATGCATTATTCCAAGAAAGACATAGTACAATATGAGTACATTATATTAAAGTTGTATTTATATGTTTTAAGAAAAACATATATTTTGTGGTTGATTCAAGAATGAATATGAATAGCCTAAATTAATCGCTGAATGTATTGCCGTTCTTGATTTTAAATTTAGCATTCAAAACAGCGTACAATAATTTGATTTATAATAAACTGTGTTGTAACATCTTTATATGAGTTGTGTATACAATGTTACATTTAACTTCAACTTTAAAGGAATAGAGAGGCTCTTTATTTATTTTATTTTTAGGATCTTACTCAAAACACAATTTTATCCGATTATATTTAAAGATTCTATGCAGTTATTTGTTATACTGTTACACTTTATGCATTAAATAAATAAGTACAAGTATGGCTTTTTGGATATTATGACTGTCGGCCGGGCGCCCCTCAACGGCGGGCGCCACTAGGCATGTGCCTAGTGTGCCTTACGGTAACGGTAAGTCGGCCACTGGACGTAGTGTTGCGCTGCAGCATGGCCTGTTTTTCTAGTGACCCCTTAATAATATGACCAGCTGTTTTGTTTTTATCAAAATCCAGCTACACAACACCCAGGAATTCCTTATAAGTCATTTGATTTAATGGAAATGTACCTTAAAGATTGAAAAATCATAGACAACAGAATAAAATATAGACCGACAAAGGAAGGTTCCGCGATGTGCTGCTAGAGCGTGCTCAGTGTTCCGTCGATTTGCTGCCGTCGTCAACTCGCCATCTGCTACCAGCACTACCACCCTTGCAAACAAAATGCTACCAACGTATCAGATCCACTGTTCAATATGGGTAAAGTACAAAATCCCGTAACTTTAACAAAAAAGACCTTTTTTTAACAAAAATTCCCAGAAATTTTAAAAACACAGAAAAATAACAGAACAAATTCCAACTCCCCGGATTCCAGGGAATTCTCCAGAAGTTGGTAACACTGGCTCCAACTACCAAGTTGTCATGGCAACGCTTGCTAGCACTTGATGCTGCAGCAGAATGCGCTGAAACTACACGGCACTCCTAGCGGTGGACGCGAAAATATATGCTAACTGCAGCACTGCTGTCAGTCTATATTTCTTTAATTCTTTTGTCTATGGTAAAACACACTTAGGCTACTTAACTTATCTCTAGAAGTACAAATGAGATTATCTACCTGTATCCAACTACTCTGTATCCCGGTTATATTGTAGACTCTAGTTTGTTGTTAACTGTTAGTGAAAATGTTGTAAACCTAGTGCCTTGTAAATGTCCATGTTCCTTAACATAGCCAAACATAGGTTTCATTACTCACTAGTTTTCATATTAGACACAGATTTAAGGTTCATTTTCAATATTTAGACTAGTAGGAAAGTTTTTTATAATTGACTTTTTTAGTGGCGTTTCACAATTATTTTAGATTTATATTGGGTGATTGTAGAAAAAAATTGAATATTTGTTTATGTGAAGGTATGTAGGGGCGCGTCTCAGAAGGTCCCTACTTACTAGTAACATCTGAACAATCCCATTGTAATAGCATTGTAGTAACCATCTGAAGATTTCAGACAACAATCTTGCCAAATCTCCGTCAGCCTGGGCTAATTTTTGACCCCTCCTCATCTAATTCAGGCCTGCCTCTCCATCACTTTTGTGATCAGTTTCTTAAGAAATATTTGTGGTTTTGTTTAAATTTCTCACAGTGTTTGTGAGCGGGAGTCTAAGAATCCAAGTAAGTACAGTAAAACCGCTTAACTCAATAATTTTCGGTCCAAAATATCATCGAGTTATCCAGAATATTTTAATAGGTTTTAATAAATCATTACAGTATAATTTTTACGGATAAATTTATTTATTACTTACATGAGTATTTTTACATATTGAGTAAACAATCTTCAAAGAAATACTGAATATTAAACAATTAAAACTAAATGTTCTGAAATAAATTGCTTTTTGCGTGCGCCCTGTCAGCTGTTGAGTTACCGAGTCGTGTTAGTGAGGTTTAACCTTTGACTATTAATACAACAAATAGTCAATGGTTTAACTGTACATGAAAAATGGTAACCTAATTATTTGGTGGGCAAGATCTTTACCCACAAATATTCATCCGAAATATTACTTATTTTTAAATTTGAATTGATAGCAAGGGTTGATAAGTCGATATGTCAGGGTCTCAGAATTTCAGTCTCGGTGTAAGTGGTACAGTTTCGACCCGCAGCAATAACTACAACAATTTTAGAGGTGTGGCTTTCCCTGAGGGCTGGTGTAGTGGTTATAGCGTGCGACTTCAGTCCCGGGTTCAAATCCCGCCAAATCACCAATGGATTTATCTAAATGATAATGCCGCAACCCCTAGGTCTAGCCTGAAGTAATGTGAAAAACAATCCCGGGCTTGTGCCTAGCATCCTAGGACAAAAAAAAAATTATCAAGTCGATGGCGCCTTATAAAGGCGCATAAAAGCTGGAAAGAGGGAGTTTGTATGTGCGAGTTCTGTGACACTAAACTCATTGCACTGGCCTGCGCTGGTTGTCCATTATTTTTTCTTTCTACTCTTTTTGAAAACCTCTTATCATTAGTGTTAAATGTTGATCTTAGGGATAGCATATTTAGGACCTAAATTAGTTTAGTTAAGTACAGGGTGATATAAATAATAGTGTTTAACATTTTAAGTTGAAATATTAAATTTTTAAAAACTATGAGTCTAGTTTTTAAAATAAATATGGACGACAAATTGACCACTAGAAATTTGGATTCATCAGTGGGTATGATGTCAAATTTATCCCAAATAATTATTTATTTTGTTAGTAGTCAACTTTAGTAATTGCAATCCAAATGTTTTATATTTACTCTGTTTGTTCGTTTTCACATTTGCAACCTTTGGTGGCTTCTATTTGTAATTATAGGGGCTCCACTAAAGACAAACATCCTAGCCACAGTAGTAAATATTTCTTCTACCGGTAATTGATATGTATAATAAATTGTGCATTCTTTTATGAAAATTAAAATCTACAGCTAATCAACATCCATTTATAACTTTTCAAAAATAATCTAGTCTATTTGCAAAAATCATACTTTTGTCTGTTGTTTTTTTATCAACCTGTGATAGTTAACTTTCTGTTCCTAACTTATTATGTTGTTTTTTAAGATATTTTAATCTAAAAACTGCGTTCCTGTGCTACATTAAGACATTAGAGATATTATTTGAATTATATAAATGTATTTGTTGTGCATTAAAAATGTATTCTGTGATAATATTTGGTGTATTTTTACCCAAACTAGCTGAGTATTTTTCTATATTTTTAGTCTAACACAATTTGCCGAGCAAGTTGAAAAACTAGTTAAAAAAGAAGTAGTTTCAGTAAAAACTTGAAAATGAAAATAAACCAGACAAAACCCCAATACAGTAATTCTAAACTTTTTTAACTATTCATTTACATTTCTACATATTCAACATTAAAATTAAATAAAAAAAACCTCATATTCTTCTAGGAATTTTTACATTTGTTAAAATGATTCCAATGCCAAGTAACCTTGTAGCTCTATCTTAATTATTATTTGAATCATTTAAACTGTCCGGGGACTTCTTTTCACCTGTATGTAAATAAATGTTGATTTTAAAAATCATATTAAGTTAAAACGTACAATTATGATTCAAATACCTTGTTTTAATTTCCATATGCATCAAAAACAATATTATGTGTTATGTTAATAAAACAATTTATTCTACATCAGCACACTCAAACATTTCCATCATGTATCACACTTCCAAACCAGTAACTATTGTTAGTCAATGGTAAAACAATAACCAAATTTTCATAAGCTGACGCAAACACCATTTTACCATTTAGAAAAATTATTAAAACAATAACAATCAAATCAAAACAAACATATACTTATAGCAATACAATCAGCTGATGCTTTGTTTGCAATGAAATGAAATGTGTTTAATGAGCGCTTCTGGGAACATGTACCGGTGCACCGGTGTTGCCCCGGTGCAAAAAATGTGTCGTTCTGGGAGACCGGTGAGTTAACCTAGCAGACAGCTATTTCCTCTTTTTCCTCCACCGGTGCAAGATTTATGCACCGGAGAAATTGTACGGTGCATAATACACCGGCAGCCTCTGATTGGTCTGTTTCTTGGACAACAGCATGCAGCTACGGCAAGATGGCGGGTCCATCGAATAATATTCATCAGTTTTATAGGTTATGTTGCGTAATGAGTTAATAATTTATTCTATGAGGGGGTTAAATTACGTATTAAGTGAATAATTTTCAAATAATTTATTCTGTGAGGACAAGTTTGTTTGATTTCAATATTATAAAGTAAATAATAGGTGAATGTGTAAATTATAATCCGATGTGTACCGTAAACCGGTGAATAACCGTTCTGGGATACCAAGACTCTTGCCCCGGGGCTGTACCGGTGAATAAGTCACCGGTTAATCTGCACCGGTACATGTTCCCTGAACATTGTCTTGTGAATTTATACAAATTATTGACAATGTCCGAAAACTGCTAAAACTAGCATAGTCAGTTAATTAATACAATATACAATATTTACAAGAATACTACACCCAAGGAGACATGTTACAATACATACTTTAATATTACAACCAAATAATCTTATTGCTAAGAAAAATGCAAGGCGCTTGGAATAATGGAAGTTATTAAACCCCATAACCAACTAAATCCAACAGTAATTTGGTAAATTTGCTAGCTCTACTTAAAAATTAATAAAAGGCATTTCAAAAAAAAAATTTAGAGAATAAAAAGGGTTGTTCAAAAGCCATTTGTAAGCCATGATTGAAACATAATTAGTCCAACGAGAGAGATAAGTTAATAATTTATCAAAATTTTCAAGAAAAACCACAGGGTTGCCCGAAGGTGAGTGGTAGACAGAGACGAAAATTAATTTAAAATCCTCGATAAAGACTGCTGCTGCTTCTAAACTCATTCCAGAACAAAACTGATCCAAATCACACATTTTAACCTGCAAAGAATTTTTAATGAAAACTAAAGAGCCCCCCTTTATATGATCAGTTCTGCAGTAAGCACTACCACAACAAAAACCATCAGGATAAGCTAAAGCAACCTCTTCTGTTTTTAACCAATGTTCAGTTAGACCAATAGCGGAGATATTATTCCTAAGTACAAATGACTCTAAAATTTATATTTTATTTTTTAAGCCTTGGATATTTATAACAAGAGTGAAAGATTTACATTTAAAATTGATGGTTTTTTTTGTGATTCTTGTTTGGCAGTCTTATTAAGGCTAAACATTATTCTTAGGCTTATTTGGATCCACGGGAGCAAATGACACACTGGCAGCGCGGTCAACACTACACTTCTGGGGAATAACTTCACTCTCACTTAGATTGGACACTTCAATGGTTGACTGGGTTAGAGATTCATTAGAGGAGGTGTCAACATCAACCTCTCGTAGGGTAGGGGTTAGTGATGTGACGAGTTGAGTTGGCGAGTCGAGTTGACTCGAGTCAAGACCCGAGTCGAGTCAACTCGAGTCATCTCATTCACAACTCGAGTTGGTACGAACTCGTACGGAGATTGCCGAAGCTACACGAACTCGTAACGTTACGAGTCCGACTCGCAAAAGCCGAGTCAAGAAACCGAACTCATACGGAGAAAGCCGAACCTTAACGAACTCGGGACGTAACGAGTTGACTCGAGTTTACTCGCACTCGCTTTCGGCCAATAGCGTCACAGCTTTACGAGTCAACTCGCATAAATTCAACGCTATTGGCGGAACGCGAGTTGAGAGTTGACTCGTATAACTGAAAACTGAAAGCCTATTGGCCGAGTGCGAGTATAACCCTTCACGATCCACAAAACGAACTCGTACAGAGAATGCCGAACTTACACGAACTCGGAACGTCTCGAGTCGAGTCGACTCGACTCGTAAAGCTGATACGCTATTGGCCGCTACCGAGTCGGCCGACTCGCAAAACTATAACCCTATTGGTTGACTCCGAGTCGTTGCAGACTCACATGATGCACATTCGGGTCGAATTTCGAGTTGAGTCTGACTCGACTCGTAACTCGAGTTCACGGCAGTTGGCGAGTCGAGTCAGGAAAGTACCCGACTCGTCACATCACTAGTAGGGGTGCTGACCTCAACCTCGTGTGGTGTGGTGGGCGTGGTGACCTCAACCTCGGGTGGTGTGGTGGGCGTGTTGAGTGCCCACCACACCACCTGAAGTTGAGGTCAACACCTCGTGAGTCCCACAAGGAGTGTAGATGTT